GGAGTCTAGGGGAGGCATATTTTTCTTTCAGCTTTGGAAGATGTTACTCCACTCTCTCCTCCTCTTCATGGTTTCTGTTGATATGTCTGGGCATATTCTTGCCATTGAATGTGACTGTCTTCCTTTCTCTTGCTGCTCTTAGGATTTTCTCTTGCCTTGGTGAGTTCTTCCTGGGGTTTAATCTAATCAGTGTCCTCTCTGCTTCCTGTATGAGTGATTGATTCTCATTCATTAGGGTGGGGAAGTTTTCTTCCAGAAATTCCCTTGTTAGTTTAGCTGTCAACTTCTTCGCTGTGTCTTATTACCAGTAGGCCAATAATTCTGATGGTCTTCCTATTAATAGCATCTGTCATTGATCTCAAGTTTTCTTCAGCATCTTTTATTATCTTGTCTTTCTCATTTGCTGAGGTCTGCCTGATTATCTTCAAGATCACTGATACGGTTCTCAGCCTCTTCTAGTCTGTTTGTGAGATCCATGATCTTGTGTGCAGCTTCTGCTACTTCATCCATTTATTCCTGTATTTTCCTTTAATGCATGGCCTTCATCCTCTCTGTTGTGGACTTCATCTACTCTATCATTGCATCCTTAGTCTGTGTAGCTTCCCTCATCTCCTGTATTACTCCAAGAAGCCTTCTGAAATTTATTTTTGTGGCAGATCCACATCAGATTCTTCTATGAGTGTTGTTAGCTCTCCTGTTGTGGTTTGTATTTCTTGTTTACTTGTTGGGAGTGATGCAGTATGTTGTTGTTTACTTGATGATTTTGAAGAGCTGGGCACCATATTTCTGGAAGACCAAGAGGCCTTGCATTCTCTCTTGTGTGTGACTAGCAATGGTGTTTTCATGGGCTTCCTGTGGCCTACTGTGGCTGTGGGTCAGGTTGCTGTGTAGGCAGGTGCTGCAACGACTCAGTGGTCAACAGCGATGAGAGGTAGCGAGCAGAGCACTGGTGAGGACAACTGTGGGGAACTCAGTATGACTGGTGGATAGCTTCCGGTACAGTGATAGGGGTATAGGGGGCCAATGGGCATGTGGTGGCCCAGATGGGGTCTAAAGTGGTGTGACCAGCGTGAGGTGGGGAGGTCCCAGAACCGGGTTGCTGGTCCCCTGGGTTCTGGAGCTAGGCTAGAATTGTGGGATGGATGCACTCGACCAGGGATGCACTCTCCACTGTTCCACTCACTGCGTGGGATGGGAAGGGACGGGGCAGCAATGATCCCCAAGCTGGGATAGACCCAGGCAAGGCCCTGGGGACTGGGCATTTGCCGGGTTGGCCTGCAAGGACCCAGTCCGTGATTCCAAGTGGCTCCAGGCAAGGTGGCGTGCAGGAGTCCTGCAAGGCCCAGTCCAAAACCCCAACTCCCAATGCTCAGGCCGAGGTAGAGCGTAGCACAGTGTGCTGGGCCTGGAGATGTGAGAGCCACCAGAAGCTGGTGAAATGGTGCTGGGGAAATGGTGGGCAGGAAGTGAGGGTGCCACTCCGTGTGGACAGGGAAAGGCAAGGGCTGCAATGAGCTGAGGCACCTTGAAGTGGCAGGTGCTATGCCGTTGACACGGCAGACTCGACAGTGCAGTGGGTGGAGGCGGCCCAGGCATTGGTGCTGGGTACCCCAGCTGCAGGCTATCAAACTTGCTGTAAGTTAGGCCCTGGCACCCTGGGTGGCTGCCAGGAGGGACCAGAGCTTGCAGGTGGAATCACTGCCTAGCCTTGTGGAGGGAAGGGAACCGTGGGAGACGGGTGCAGCTCCCCCGAGTGGGAGCCACAAGTAGACAGTTACTATGTGGTGGTCAGGTCCGCCCTTGGAGAGCTCTACACAATAGCGGCAACCAGGCCAGGGGGTGGGGGGCACTGGCTGGTGACGACCAAGTCGCAGAGGTCACCCATCTGGCTGGCAATCCGTGGTATATGGACCCAAGTCTCCGGGGCTTGGAACAAAGCAGATGTGGAGCAGGGCTACCTCCCAGAGGGAGGGCCCCTCATGGAGACTTTTCCACTTACCAGAACACTTCCACTTGACCTCCCAGACCCCAGATTCACCCGAGCTCTCATATGGGCTGCTTACCTGGGGGCCATCTTGAAGCCTTCTCCTCCTAATCGTTTTTTTTACTACGACTTCCATGAGGATTGATGTGGATCCAAGCAGGACAAAATCCTTCAATCTTTTCTCATTTATCATTGGTTGTTACCTATTGGTCCAATTGTGAGGATTTTGATCTTCTTCACATTGAGTTGTGATTCATACTGAAGGCTGCAGTCCTTGATCTTCATCAGCAAGTGCTTCAAGCCCTTCTCACCTTCAGCAAACAAGGCTGTATCATCTGCATCTCACGGGTTGTTAATAAGCCTTCCTCTAATCCTGATGTCACATTCTTCATATAATCCAGCTTCTTGGATGATTTGCTATGCATACAGATTGAGTATGGTGAGAGGATACAACCCTGACACACACCTTTTCTGGTTTTAAACCATCCAGTCTTCCCTAGTTCTGTACCTACAACTGCCTCCTTGATCCATGTACAAGTTCCATACAAGCACAATGAAAAGTTCTGGAACTTCAATTCTTCTCAAGATTTTACTAAATTTGTTATGATCTAGCCAAATGCCTTAGTCAATAAAACACAAGTAAACATTTTCCCAGTATTCTCTGCTTTCAGCTAAGATCCATCTGACATCAGCAATATCCTGTTTCATGTCTCTCCTGAATCCAGCCTGAAACTCTGACTGCTCCCTGTCAATGCACCACTGCAACCATTGACAGATGATTTTTATTAAAATTTTACTTGCGTGTGCTATCAATGATATTATTCTATAATTTGAGTGTTTTGTTGGGTCACCTTTCTTCGGAATGGGTACAGACACGGATCTCTTCCAGTCCACTGGCCGACTAGCGGTCTTCCAAATTTCCTGGCACAGACGAGTGAGTGCTTACCGTGGTTGAAACATTTCTTTTGGTATTGAATCTCTGAAGCCTTGCTTGGGGCTAATGTTTTCAGTGCTATTTGAACTTTTTCCTTCAGCACCATTGGTTCTTACTCACATGCTACCCTGAAATGGTGGGACACAGACTAGTTCTTTTTGGCACAGTGACTGTGTTCTTTCCATCTTATTTTGATGCTTCCTGCAACATTCAGTATTTTGCCTATAGAAGCTTTCAAAATTGCAACTTGAGGGTTGACCCGAGTTCTGTTTAGATATGCTGAGTATGTCCTTCCTTTTTGGTTTTCTAGAGGGTCAAAAAATAAAAAGGCACTCAATGTGGACTGACAGTGGCTGCAACAATGGGCATATGAACAATTGTGAGGATGGCACAGGGCTGGGCGGTGTTTTGTTTTAGTTGTAGAGGATAGCTATGGGTCAGGAAAAACTCAATGGCACCTAGCATGTCACTTGAGCTTTGCTTACAGAAGAATTTACCCTTCTCTGTTAGATTCCTGTGTGCCATCCTATCTGTTTATATAGATGCCTGAATGCCTGATAAGTAATGCAGTGTTAAGGCTTAACAATAGTGAGCGCTAATATAAAATGATCTTCAAAAACAAAATCAAAGGGCAGCATGGAACCAGGGACAAAGTTCAGAAGGGCTGGCGAGGGAGGAGGAATGGGAACAGGGCGCACCGGGATGAGTGGTGTTGTGTTACGGAGACTGCACTAAAGACGTTAAACAAAATGGGTGTGAAAAGTTAAGATGGAAAGCTGACATGCTCTATAATTCACCCAATTCATCTCTCTCACACACCCACATACACACATGCTCATGAGTGTACAAGGGCTTTGAAGCACATTTAGTATCAATCCCCCAAGTTTGTTTTTAAATCATTTTATTGGGGGCTCATACAACTCATCAAAATCCATACACCCATACATTGTATCAAACACATTTGTACGTTTGTTGCCATCCTCATTCTCAAAACGCTTTTCTACTTGAGCCCTTGGTATCAGCTTCCACCAAGTTTTGTTAGCTAATATTCTCTCCATTTTGTGCAAGATACCTCTTTAATGCTGTCTTAATTTTTATTCTGCAATGTGGCTTGGCAGGAATTTAGAAGTCAGCAAATTTTGTAGCTAAAAGCTTGAAAACAGGGAAAGTAGAGAGAAATGACCATTCCAGTAATGTATAGTTACCTCACTCAATGAGATATGGGGGCACTCACAAACACCTTTGATGATAGGGTGCAGCCTTCAAGTCCTGACTTTAGCTGGCCACTACCTGTCCACTCCCTATGAAGCTGTTTTCAAGGCACAATACCGCTGATTAGGCAAATTGTGTGAAGCTGTAGAAAGGAAATTCAGGTTATCCATCGGGCTGCTTAACAGTTGACAGTTCGGCTAATGTACAACTTAGGTGTGTGACCTTTGCTCACCTATACCCATCACCAGGAGCCCCAGTGGTTACAATGGTTACAAGTCAGGCTGTGACCCGCAAGGTCAGCAGTTTGAAACTACCAGCTACACCATGGGAGAAACACAGGGCTTCCTATTCCTTTCAGTGGTCTGAGACTCACAGGGCCATTCTGTGTTGGCACTGACTCAATGTCAGGGAATGAGTGAGTGATCCTCCATTACCAAAGTAATAGCATGTCACAGGCTTGGCGCAGTGTTTCCCCAAGTTGACAATACCACCCCCTGGTGGGTGTTGGCGTGAACCAGGGACGATGCAAAAGCAGAGTTTACGCTGGATTATGGGCTCCAGTACAAATGTTCTTTAACTGCTCAGGGGGGGCATTGAGTTTTGTTGTTTCCCCCTGCAAAGGGGTGTTGAGACAAACTTGGAAACCTGTGGCGCCAGCTTCTCCACGGGGAAAAGGTGCACATTTCTCCAAACCCACGGGGCTATTTCTACTCTGTCCAGTAGGGTCAGTATGAGTTGGTATGCGCTGGGCTATGAGTCAACACCAACCCGATGGCAGTAAAATTTTTGATAAAACGTCTTTCACATGCTGGGTGAGCAAAACTGATCCTCAATTTACTGCAAAACTACAATGAATTTTAAAACATAGAGTCAAAATCATCAAACTGTTTTATTTCAACCTTCAAACAATACAAAGAGGTGATAACACCGAACACCAAACCACGCAAATAACAATGAAGAACAGAAAAAACATAACATGAAGAAAATCATTCTTAAAAACCAGTCCTTCACATCTCTAAGACGTGCTTTGGCAGTATTGGCACTGAATCCTAGATAACTGAATTAACCCCTTGCCTGACTTTAGCAAAAGTCCAACCACACTTTCGCCTAAAAGTTGACACCCCGTGTCACTGCACACCACTCTGGCGGACTTTGTAAACCAGCTCTTCAATGGAAGTGGGCACTGGACGTCATCAGGACAGTAACTAAACACAAGTACACAAACGCCAAAGTGTCCAGTAAGGCAGCAGGATGTTGCTGTTGATTGTTGGTCTTTCGTATTTTACCAGCGTAAAGAATCATTTTTATTTTCCTCAGCAAACCCAATTCTGAAGCTTAGCCAGCAGCAGGCTCAAGTTAAAGGTTTTAAAGATAGCACAGCCTCCCCAGCTCTCACCAGCCCCTTTCTCCTTTTTTTGGTAAATGTTTCATATAAAATATGAAATCAAGTGCTACTTTATTTAAAAAACAAAAAAAGAGTGCTTTGTAGTAGCAAAAATATATGTTTATATTTCTCTATTTTAAAAAGACATCAATAACAATACTTCAGAAGACTGGGTGTAGGCCCTAGCCCCACAGCCACCAACTGTCCACCGGGCACAGATACATTAAGGCAAAGGCTCCTGGACAGGTAGTTCCAGTGACGCAGTGGGCTGGGGACCCACGGTGAACACAGGCCGCTCCCGCTGGGTCAGCAGACATGCTTCTCCCTCATGCTCACTGAGCCGTCCTGCATCCCAAAGTAGACTCTCTCGGCCATGTTGATGAACAGGCCCGTGTCCACCACACCTGCAAGATGGACAGAAGGAAGCATTATGTTTCAGCTCCCCAAGGCAAGAAAAGAGTCAAAGATCACAGAACTAAAAAAAGTAACTACTACAAGCAAAACTGGACAAATCACAAGTCTAAAGCCTTCCCTTCCCACAAGGCAATGAAGAGGCTCTGCGTCTCTATGTCTGGCATGGCTTAAATACTGCATGGCCTAAGAACAGGGAAAATGTGCATTTCGGTTGTATCCGCTCACCGTATTTATTCAATCTGCATGCTAAAAAACTGATCAGAGAAGCTGGATTTTATGAAGAAGAGTGAGACTTCAGGATTGGAGGAAGGTTCTTTAACAACTGGTGACATGTCAATGATACAACCTTGAAGCACTTGCTAATGAAGACCAAAGATTTTAGCCCTCAGCATGGAGTAAAAACTCAATATAACCAAACCAAAGCCGACCCACTGCCATCAAGTCAATTCCAACCCACAGTAACCCTATGGGACAGGACAGAGCTGCCCTGTGGATTTTTGAGATTATAACTGCCTTCCTCCCAAGGAGTGGACTGCAGCCTAACACAAAGCCAGGACTCCAGATATCTCACAACTGCACTGAAATCGTCTAAGGTTACAGCTTGCTTGGTTGGATACACAATCAATGCTCATGTGCATGTGAATGTTGGACACGGGATAAAAGCACTCAAAGAATTAATGAGAAAAGAGGGGGTTTGGAATAGAGACCCAAAGCCCATCTGTAACCCTACAGAAGGGTTACAAGGAAGGGAAGATTCAACCAGGGTGCAGTACAGCACTGACAAAACACACAACATTCCTCTAGTTCCTGAATGCTTCCTCCCCACCATTGCCATGACCCAGAGTTCTACTTTACAAATCTGGCTAGACCAGAGTACACACGTTGGTACAGATAAGAGCTCCTGACACATGGAATTCAGAACAGATAAACCCCTCAGGAACAGTAGAGGGAGTAGCCATATCATGAGGGTGGGTGATAAAGGAGGAGCCCATCACAAGGTTGGATATAAAGCCTGCCCCCACCCCTAAGGGAGATGAATAACAGAAATGTGGGTAAAGGGAAACAATGGACAGTATAAGACACGAAGTATTAATAATATTGTATACTTGATCCAGATTCGCGAGGGAAGGGGAGGGAGGGGAAAAAAGAGGAGCTAATACTAAGGGCTCAAGTAGAAAGAAAATGTATTGTAAATGTTGATGGCAACATATGTACAAGTGTGTTTAATACAATTGAATGATGGATTATTATAAAATTTGTAAGAGCCCCCGCAATAAAATTATTTTAAAAGGAAAAAAAATCAAAGAACAGCTGAGGGTCACCTTCAAGCATTTCAAACGCCTGACTCTTGTCCATCCTTCAGCTATTTGATGAAGAGCCTTCTCCTCCGAGAGGCCCTCCAGAACTACTCTGTGCAGTGGTTCAGAGGGCTGCTTCAGGATGAAGACATTGTATCTAGGACTCATGCTGAAGTGGACAAGCACAGCATGTCCACAAGAAAACACACAACACAACAGAAAAATCCAAGAGACTTATACAAGTAATTTATAGGGGGTCATGCAATAAAAGAGCCAATACACATTTAAACAGTGCTCAAATTCATGCGTCCATAGGGAATGCAAATTAAAATAAGACACCACTACAAAGCCACCGGAACGCGTGCAACGAAATCTATCTGTGGGGAGACATGAAGAACACGGATACATGCAGAGAGCAGGAGATTATGAAAGAGGAAAGAAAAGATCAAAGTGGGTGTCACACTAGACTCTGGCACTTACTCTTGAGTGCAGAAATGGAAGAAATGATGAAGTAAAAGGGCAGGAAAACTTAAAGGCAGTTCAAGAAAACAAAGCACTGTAATAAAATATGCAAAGACCTGGGTTTGGAAGATCTAAAAGGAAAAGCATGCTCAGAACACTTGTCAAGCTGAAAGAACTAAAGAATAAGTTCAAGCATTGAGTTGTGACATTGAAGAATTACATGGGCAAAATACGAATGCAGGAAGATGGAAGGAATACAGAGAGTCACTGTCCCCAAAATTATTGGCCAACATTCAGTCATTACAAGAGCAGCACATGACCAACTCCAATGGTACCGAAGAAAGAAGTCCAAGATGCACAGAAGCCATTAGTGAAAAACAAAGCAGCAGGAATTGGCAGAAAACAAACTGAAATGTTTAACAAGCAGATAAAGCACCATGCCAAGAAAGTACTTGCTTATGCCAAGAATTTTGAAAGAGAGACACTTGGTGGCCAACTGTCTGGAAGAGATCTATATTTGTACCTACTCAAAAAAAAATGATCCAAAAGAGTGCAGAAATTATCGGGTAATATCATTAATATCACATGAAAGTGAAATTTTGTGAAAGAAAATTCAACAATTGCAGCAGTACAGCATCATAGCTGCCAGAAATTCAACCCAGATTCAGAAATGGACGTGGAATGAAGGGTACCATTGTTGATGTCAGATAGAGAGCATGGCTGAAAGCAGAAAGTCAGAGAAAGATGGTTACCGTGTTTTACTGCCTACACAAGGGCCTTTGACTGTGTGGATGACAAACCTTGAGGAAAATGAGTATTCCCAAACTTTTCACTGTGCGTATGAAAAACCTGTACACAGATCAGGAGGCAGTTACTCAAACAGAACCCGGGAATACTACATGGGCTAAAACCAGAAAAGGGTGCATCAGGGTTGCATACTTTCATCAAACTAACTCAAATTTGTATGCCGAGTAAATGATCCAAGAACCTGGACTATTTGAAGACCAGGACCGGAGGGAACTTTTTTAACAACCTGGGGTACACAGATGGTACAACCTTGCTTGTTGAAAGCACAGAGGATTTGAAGCACTTACGAAGGAAGATCAAATATTGCCGCTTCAGTATGTTTACAAATCAACATAAACAAAACAACATAAAGACAACATCATGAAAAAAGGAGAATAGATGGGAGTTGCCAAAGATTTCATTTTGCATGGAAGCAAGAGTCAGGAAAAGCAATGACAAAAATATGCTACATCAGACCTCTTTATGCGTTCAAGAGCAAGGACTTCGCTCTGACGACCGACCGGTCACAGCACGCTCAATCACCCCGCAGGCATGGCGAACGAATGCGGACAATGAATAAGGAAAACTGCAGGAAAACGGATGCATCTCAGTGACAGTGTTGCTGAAGAACCCTGCAAGTATCATGGACTGTCAGAAGAGCAGTCCAGTCGCTTACGGCTCATGGTGGCCCACAGGACAGAGCTGCCCCTGTGAGGTCCCAAGTTGAACTCTCTACAGGTGTAGAAAACCTGTCTTTCTCCCAAGGAGCAGCTGGTGGTTTCTAATTTCAGACCTTAACAGTTAGCAGCACAATGAGTAACCTCCCCACAGATGACCAAAGTGACCACTCAAGGGTGAAAGGGGACATCAGTGTAAGACATGACAAAATAAATAATTTATAAATTCTCAAGGGTTCATGAGGGAGTGGCATCGGAGGGAGGGGGAAAATGAGGAGCTGATAACCAAGGGCTCACGTAGAAAGCAAATGTTTTGAGAATGATGATGGCAACATATGCACAAACGTGCTTGACACAATGGATGTATGTATGGATTGTTATAAGAGTTGTACAAGACCCTAATAAAATGATTTTAAAAAAAGATTGCGGAAGAGAAAAGTGTTTAAAAAAATGTTTCCACTGTGATAAGAGCTGTATGAGGCCCCAATAAAAATGATTTTAAAATAAAATAAAAATGAAGTTAAACTAGACTCAGGAAAATCTGTAAGGAAATACCTAAAGAATGGGCTGATCTCAGAGCAAACTCCCCTCGGGTTCCTGGTACAGGAGTGTCCGGCCTCCTTTGCCCTCTACCCCAAGCACAGTGTAGGAGACAGAGGATGCTGAACGTCAGCAGGCAGCCAGGGGCCAGTTCAGCTGTCCTCTAAGTGGCCTCACAGATGCAACCAATGTACATGGGTCAAGAGTAGGGAGACAGGGATAGAGTCATCCTGCATCTCCTCCCTTGACCTTGGTTGGTCCAACTCTGGGTTGTTTTAACAGCAAGCCTTTCTCTTTCCATTTTCCTAATATCCCTAATAAAACTCTGAAACGTCTCTAAAATGTAGCTCCTTCTGTGGAGAGTGAAGGCGAAATCTCCACTCTCAAGATTCTCAATGTCTTAGTAGTACTGTAAGCCAAGCAAGACACGTCTATGATGGAAGAACAGCACCACCTAGTGGGCACTACAAGAAACCCACCTACAGAGACATTGCTGGGTCTTTTTCAGCTATGTAGCATTCTCTGACTTCCACCCACTTCATGAGGCGGGGTAGAACTGCCCTTGTGGGTTTTCAAGGCTGTAGACCTTTACAGGAGCAAAAAAGATCTTCTCCCAGGGCGTGGCTGGTGGGCTCTGGGGTGAGCAGCCCCGAGCGCCTTTCATTGGGGGCAGCACATGAGCGCCTTTCACTGGGGGCAGCACATTCTCCAACTGAACCAATAGGGACCTCTGAAGCTTCTATCCCTCTGCTTTCTTGGAACTTTAGTTCTTCCAATAAAAAGATAAATAATAACCACGAGAAGGAGAACTGAGTTCATCTTTTTGACTCAATACATCTGGTAAAAACACTCCGTCTGTAGATCACAAAAGAGCAAAACGGCATAGGGTTGGAAGGATGAGCTCTTTCTTCATGGAGATTCACACAAACCCCATTCCCAAGCAGCAAGCATAACCTAGACGCTGGTACATTTGGTCACGAGTGAAGAGACAGTGTCCTTTATACCTAAAGATTTCTTTATTCAAGAAACCATGTCTGCCTCCCGAGTCAATTCCACCTCAGAAGGCGTCGTGCCATGGAACATTCATTCTCCAGAGCTCGGGAGCCGACAGGTGTGTAGCCTGGCCCCTCTTAGTGCCCTCAGCACCTCCTCAGAATCCATCTCCAGGCCATTCTTATCCCGCTCCCAAGCCCTGTCCCCTCACTCCTGGGGCAGGATGTACCAGAAAGGCTTCATGCTCCCAAAATCCAAGTCACACTACCCTCCTTGGCGTGGCACTCACAGAATTCAAAATCAAGAGTTTCCGCTCTGTGAACCCTTCACCTAATTCACAATAAAATTCAAAAATTCTAAACCTGGGTGTAGAAGCAGAGAATGGAGGGCTCCCTCCATGGTGATCCCTCTCAAATGGCTCAGCCCCTCTCGCTCTCGAGCTGCTTCACAAGCAGACTCCAGGGAGACGTGGAGCGCTGGGCACAATGCCCAGGTTACGCTTTGCTAAAGGACAAGTGATAGGCCACAGCTCCTATGTGAAAACCCCCAATAAACTAACCTTTGTATTGGTGTTTCCCATGCAGAATTTACCACTCTCTCATTTAAGATGAGGCTGTTTGCTCCCACAGAGATTTAAAGGTACGGAAAGCCCATTAGGGTCCCTAAGTTGAAGAGACTGGACAGCAACGGGCTTGCTTTCGGTGTCCAATCTGCAGGCATGGCCTCTACACAGCCAAGCTCTGCTTTGCCTAGATTCGCTTCACTTCCTGGAAAACAGAAGTCATGTTCTGCAGATCAGAGTGCCCTGCAATGGGAGCCACAGCATCTCAGTCACGCTGTGTCCAGTGAATGCGGGTGAATCCTATGTCCTTATGCAAGGCTTGCCCCCCAAGACGGCAAGCTTATTGCAAAGGAAGCTCCCTTACTCTGCATCAGCTCCCACCAGAGCTGGTAGGTGAGAAGGGCATCCAAAGGCCAAGGGCAAAGTCAAGCATCACTAGGTTAGAAATCACAAACATGGTACAGAGGTGGGGCTGCCTGCTAACACTGGTGGCGTGGTACTTTAGGCTGGCAGCTCAAACCTACAGCAGCTCCCAGATAGAAACCGGGTCCCTACGAGATGGACAGTTTCAGAAACCCTATACAGGATTATCAGATAGCTAACACTCGGAAGCGATGTGATGGCAATGAGGCTGTCTTCCTCCTCTTCCTAGCCAAGCCCATGGCCAACGTGCTATTTGTGACCAGACGCAGGGGCTGTTTGAAGAAAGGGCAGGGGTGTCTCCGCCCAGCACACATCACCCACATACCTGGGATCATCTTGATGGCGGTGTTCACATCATGCCACTGGTGCACCTGCTCAAACTTCCAGTCCAGGATAAAGTTTCCATTATCCGTCACCACGGGACCCTAGAATGTAGTTCCCATATTGACTGGGGGTGAAATCACAGATAGGCAGAGGGGGACAGGAAAGACGAGGTGACAACACAAGACCAGTGTCCTGATCAGCCTGTCTGCAGTCAGTGCTCCGCTGACTCGTGCTCTTTTCTACAAGGACTGCCACGAGACAGGAGCTTCGGGGTTGGAAAAATCAGGATTTGGGTCTTGTAGCAGCATAGGTGTAGACCTCAAAGGGCCTTCAAACTATGAGCCTCCGTTTCCTCAAGTCAAAAAAGGGGCGATGATACCTCCTCATAAGATATAAAGTGGCCACTAGGTTAAATAAAACTGCGTGTGTGCGTGCTTCTAAGTGCTCAGGAAGGGCTCCCCAATCTTCAGCTCTTACATTGCCACAGGTCAACATTGACCCAGTGGTGCCCACCATGGAATCTCAAAGAAGTTCTCAAGTGAATGGTTCTGGGCGGCCACTGAATTCTAGAACATCCACGAACGTTTAGTGGTTATGACATGGCCCTGCCAAATACTTGTCCCCACGAAGAAATCACTAAGGGTGTTACCACAAAATGTGGTGAAGAAAGCAGATGGTGCCCGGCTTTCAAAACGAATAGTGTCTGGGGTCCTAAAGGCTTGTGTATTCATCCAAGTGAGGTATCAACTAAGCCCACATGGAAGCACACCAGCTTGTTGAATTCAAATATGACAAAAACAAAACCCAACTATGAAGAAGGGAAAGGTATCAGAGCTTTCATTGCGAGCACTCAATTTACAGAAGGTCATGGAAGAGAGTGGGAGCTCCAAATCCATCCGCACAGTACCTACGTGGATGAAGTCCCTGGCAGTCCCCCTCCAAACAAAACCGAGGGACGCGAATGTCCTTGCTGTCAGCCAGACTGCTGTAAACTTGATTGTGGTGGATGGCTCGATGGTAATAATAGGATACTGGCCATTTGCTCTCTCCCTTGACCCGCTCTGGATTTGTTCTAGGCCTAAATTTCTTGTTTCTCAATAGAGGTTTTCTCTCTGGCTTACGGTTTATTTCCACATATACATCCTGGTTTGGTTCTCCTTTTTTGCTTTGTTTTTGGTGTTTTGGTATGTTTCCCAATTTATGAAGCACAGAAGGGGCAGAAGTAGAGACAATAATTGATGTAATGGCGTATCAGGGATTGGGGGAAGCTGAGGGGAACTGAGCAGCAAATAATGAATAGGGAGGGGGTGCACTAGAATTCACTTTGATCATGTACATACAACTCTTGTTAAACACGACTGATATATGGAACCGTATAATGTGAGTTAAATCTCAATAAAACCACTGTCTCCCTGACTCATACTGGGAAGATGTCAGGTATTAAGTATGATATTACCTACAAGAGTGTGAATACTGAAACTAAAAAGTCAGCTCTCTTAAAAACATGGCCCCAGAAACCTCCCTGGCCACTTACTGCCTTGTTCACAGCCATTCGTAGTTCAGCCACACCTCCAAACTTCCGGGTCACGGCGCGGCTCACAGGGACATAGGCCATTGGGATGACCTCAATGGGGATCCCCTTGTGCCATTGATCCCCAAGGTTCTGTGAATTCTTCCTGGAAAATAAAATAAAATAAAGTTTTTTTAAAGCCCAGTGAAAATAAATGCACTACGTGACAGAGAGGCATCAACTTCAAGAACAGGGTTAATGGCACAGTGGGACAGGAAGTGATCTGAGACAAACGCCCAACAGACGCTGCCGGTTTTTTTACTACTTAAAAAAGAAACACAAACTAAATATGGCAGAAATGTGCAAATGTGACATGGCTGGCTAAGGGTGCACAAAAACTGTACAACCAAACTCTGGGCCACTGAAATGATTCCAACTCATAGCAACCCTAAAAGACGGGGTAAGAACTGCCCCTGTGGTTTCCCAGACTGGGTCTCTACAGGAGAAGGCCTCCCCTCGTCCCCAGAGTGGCTGCTGGCTTCAAACTGCTGTGATTATCAGCTAACACATAACCACCACCCCACCACAGGTATCTAGCATATTACTTATGCCCACTCTGCAGCGGCCATGTTTATATATATATATATATATATATATACATATATATATATATATGTATGTATATATATATATATATATATACACACACACACACACATATATTTTAATTAATATCCTCAGCACAAGTGTCATCCATCAGACACAAGGTCGAAGAATGCTCACCACACAAGCCTGTGTGCAAACCCTGAGCTAAAAGGATCAAACAAGTGGCACACGAAGACAGCTTCTGTTAGCAGGGCAACAGCTATTTCCCAAAGAATGTATGAAATAGAGGCAAGATCCCAGAGGAAAGGTGAATATGAGTCCTCCCAGACTCTGCCCTATACCCTAGCCAGTAGTCTTCGCCATCTCCCAACATCAGGAAGCCCCCTCCATTCGCTTACTTCCCCCTCCTCTGTGAACTGGGAGTGAGGACTTTGGAACCCAGGCCATCTCCTCCTGGGAGTTCAGAATACCAATCCCCTTACCTGAAATCAGCGATCACAATGAAGTGGCTGGCGTAACCCGCCACAATCTTCTCCTGAGTCAGGCAGCCTCTGAGGGCAGAGAGAAGCAAAGGAACACACGAGTAAGAAAAAGCTCACATGTGGGAACCACAGTCAGACATAAGGGACTCAAATCAGCTCCCTTCCTTTACTTGGAAAGAAGCTGGACTTTTTCTTTTTAAAAGGGTATCCACAAGCTCATTATGCTGTTTCTAGTCAAGAGATCACAGAAAGGCTGGCCTATACCTAGGAGAGCTAGAGCCTGGCCGATAGGTCCCAGTCCGGTCAGGCCATGACCCCACCCATGCAGGCCTGCGTATAAGGAGACACATGCCAGGTGCAACGCAACGGGCCTGAGTGGCAAGGACCTGTCACCTGGGAAGTCAGAATACATGGCTCTGAATACACAGCACTGCCAGCTACCTCACAGTCAAGGGGACAAAGTGGAGCATGCAGGACCCTGAATCAAGAAATCTGGGTCCAGGCCCCAACTCTGCTGCTTACTGGCTAAGTTATTTAGCAACTGCAATCAGCAAGATGAATGAGGCATATCAAAAACCTCACTTTTCTCATCTCGAAGTACTCCCACGACAACGCAGTACTGAAGAAGCACTGAATTAATGTTTTCCATGTGGGTAAGTAAATGCATCCCTACCTGTATACAGGTGCAAAACCCTGGTCACACACGGCTGTCCACAGGGTTGTTTGTGTTGGTCCGTACAGTCTGGACCAGTTGGAGCAGAACAGTGACTTCCCAGCACACGGGTGGCACCTTACTGCCTCCCCCCTTCCTGTGGGGCACCTGGCCTGCTTCCCTGACTTAGATCACCTGGTGCTATTACTCCCCTTTAATGGAGGGGTGCCTTTCTGTGCGTCATGGCACAGTGGAACCAGCAGAGCCACCAAGCCTGCCCTGAAGAGCCTGACACACTCACGGCGCCTCCGAGCAGGCCCCTTGACTGAATGTAAGTGAAGACTGCAGAGACAACACAAAGAACCCATTAAGAGGTCCCGGTTTCTAATCGCCAAATCCCCGCTGATGCCCAGAAAGGCTCTGCTGGTCGAAGGACAAACGCTAGCACTGTCCCAGCAAGAGAGAAGCTCACATACATCAGCATCTGAGTGTCCTATACGCCAGTTTGCTTTGCTAACAAGGGTTATGCAACAATGTCCCGGTCACACTCACCCACCACCCTTGATGAGGTTGAGTTCAGAATCCACTTCATCAGCACCATCGATGGCGAGGTCGATCTGCGTTGTAGGGAAGCAAACAGAAAAATCACTAAAAGCCTCTTGAGGGGAGACTGCTGAGGTTAAGTATGGGATGACTCATGAGATTCTCAACAACAGGATCAGACAGTAGGGAGGTATGGTCATCCCCAAGTTACTAACCAGGAAACAAGGCTCCTAGAAGTTGGGCAAATACTCTAGGAACCAAGGGAATCCACTTTTCCCACAACACTACACTGGCCTCATCTCACTAACGGTTGGCTGTAGACAAGCTGGAATATGCATCAGACAAGTACATAGCCTATTAAGCTGGGCATGACAAATTGAAGAGGAACGGGTATATAGTCACTGTCAAGAATAACAATTCAGGATCTATCCTGAATTAAAATATTGTCAGTGACAAAATAATATCCATATACCTACAAGGAAAAACAGTTAATATGAGTATTATTTAAATTTACAGTCCAACTATAACTGTCAAAGAAGAAACTAATTTTTTAACATCTGCAATGTGAAATTGATCAAACATGTAATCAAGATACATTGAAAACTACCATTAATTGGAATTGAAATGTTGGAAACAAGGAGGATCGATAGTTGGAAAATAAGGCCTTGGTGATAGAAATGAAGTTGGAGATATGCTAGAATTTTTTTTGCAAGACCAATGACTTATTCCTTACAAATACCCTTTCAACAGCACGAACGGTTACTGTACACGTGGATCTCACCAAGTGGGATATTCAGAATGAAATCAACTACATCTGCAGAAAGAGGACAGAGAAGCTCAGTATCATCAGTCGGAATAAACCAAGGGCTGATTGCAGAACAGACAGACCACCAACTGCTCAGATGAAGGAGTCAACGTATACCACACCTAAAGCATCATCAAAACAGATCGGATGCGCCGAATACGAATGACCCAAGCCCAGGCGGGTTATGGGAAGACAAGCGCATCATACAGGAGGAACACAGAAAGGTCACAAAGAAGACTGGAAAGAAGGAAAAGATCAGAATGGATGCAGGAACACTCTGAAACTAGCTTAGCTCCTAACCATAGAGAAGCTAAACTCAGTGTTAGAAATGGTCATATAAGACAGCTGAACAGAAGTTCAAAGGGCGTCGATGAGAATGAGGTATTATAACACAATGTGCAAAGTCTTCCAAAGTTAGCCTCCAATAGGAAAGGACAGACTCCGCAATTCTTAAGATAAAAGAACTAAAGAAAAACTTGGAGGGACTGAGTTGCGATACTGAGGAATTCTGCGGGCAAAATACTGAATGATGCAGGAAGCATGAAAAGATCGTGGATGGGATCCACAGAGCGGAACTGCTCATATCTCCAGAGGAAGCGTGTGCTCAAGACTAGATGGCACTGAGAGCTTCACTGAAGGCACGAGGAGGGCGCAACACAGGTTTCCAGACTAAAAGCAGACTGCCAAGACGGCACAGGCTGTCCACTTCTGAGAAACTAGCCACCTAAAACCTCATGAAGAGCAAGAGAACACTGTCAGGTATGGTGCCAGAAGATGGGCCCCTCGGGCACTCATGATATGACTGAGAGCCACCTCCGCAAAGGAGAATTGACTATAATGATGCGGATGGAGGACAGCTTTTGAGACCTTCTTTGCTGATGGAGCACAACACAAAATGATTAGAAACAGCTGTAAACATCTACTAACAATTGGAACTTGCAATGTACAAAGTACAAGTATAAGAAAATGAGAAGTCGTCAAAAATGAAATGCAATCAACGCACCATTGTTATCCTAGAGATTCAAAAAGTCGATTCCAATTCACAGTGACCCTCAAGGACAGAATGCCACTGCCCCTATGGGTTTGCAAGACTGGTAGTCTCCACGGTGGCACAAAGTGTCATCTTTCTCCTCTGGAGAGGCTGGTGGTTTCAAAATGCAGCTCAGCGTGTGGTCCACTACGCTGCCTGGGCTTCCCAGCCTAGGCACTAGAGAGCTGAAACAGACTAGTAGTGACCACGCTGGATCAGAGAATCCAATGGTTTACTACCCCGGGAACGATCACTTCAACAGGAATGGTGCCACTGATCCATGGAGAAGCCTGATGAGAGCGGCCAAAACAAGGCTAGGGCCAACTAGAACTGACTATCAGCTGATTATAGGTAATTAAAGCAAGTCCACAAGAGCCAAAACACGACCTTGAGTATACCCCACCTGAATTTCAAGAATATCTTGCCGACAGATTTGACTCATTGAACACTAATGAGAGAAGACCAGACAGACTGTGGAATAGCATCAAGAACATTACACACGAAGAAAGCAAAAGGCCATTAAGAAGACAGGAAAGAAAGAAAAGATCACAGATCAGAAGCGTCTCGGAAACTTGCTCTTTATGGTGCAGTAGCTAAATAGAGCACATGAGACAAACGATGATGAGAGCCGCACAGAAAACCTCAAAGGGCAGTTCAAGAGGAGAGCGTGTCATAATGAAATGTGCGATGTTTGGTCCAAGGCAGCGGTTCTCAACCTGTAGGTCATGACCCCTTTGGGGGGGTAGAACACATCCCGTAAATGGCAGCAAGTCCATGGGTGGCGCATGGTAAGCACCGCTACTCACAAAAGGGTTAGAAGTTCTAGTCCATCGACATGTCTCAGAATAAAGACCTGTTGATCTATTGCTAACAACAACAACACAATCAGTCATTGAAACCCTATGATGCCAATTCTACTCTGACACACAGGGACACCAGGAATTGAAATGGACTTAAGAGCAACTGGTTTGATACTTTCTCAAGAGACTATGCTGTATGCTCTACGCTCAATCCAATAGGTCGAGAGAGGGACCAAGGAAGAGAGCCCTCCAAAGGATAGCCGTGAGACTGAGCCCAACAATCTCAGAAACAGACAGCTATGGTTATGTTGCAAATGCATATCCCACTTAAGTCCTCCAAAGCCCTCTCAACCCACTAAACACACGTACCAAGTGCTATTAGCCCCTATTTTATAAGGGAAGAAATTGAAGCTCAGGGATATCAATTAGCTTCCTCTGGGCCACACAAGTGGTTATAGTGGCAAAGCGGACTTTGAATCTAGATCTGTTTGATCTTTCTCTTCTTGCTGTGATCTCCTTTAGCACTGGGTAAAGTGAGGAAAACAGCAGATTCAAAGGAATTTGGCAGGGGGAATGCCAAGAAAATATACTGGCAAATTCTCATATCTGAAGTTCCTAAATAAAGATATATTTAGATTTAACCTCTTAAAAAAAAAAAAGAAATGTGCAATGACCGGAAGTTTAAAAACCAAAAAGGAAGCGTGTACTTTCAGCTAAAAGACCTGAAGAAAAAGTCAAGGCTGGCCTTTTCTCAAAGATCCGATGGGCAAAATAACAAAACACAGCAAAGCATCCAATGGAAACCATGACGCACCCTGAGATGACGGAAGGGAGACAGTCTCTACATCCGCAAAGTGCCGGCAAACCCTTGGTGGTCCGTATTGAAAATGGTCTCAGACGTCCTCTAGGACAGGCAGTCTGGACTTGCCCACCATCTGTCGGGAAGCTCCACCACCAGCCCCAAGCTGTCCTTGATTCACTTATCTTTACGTCAGGGAGGCTACGTATTTCTCTTCACTCACGGTCCTCTGCATGGGTAGGCCATGCGGGAACAGTAAGCAGGGTTTATAAAAATCGTTTTTTAAAAACCTTAGCGCAAACTCCATCGACTTGCAGTTACTTGGAAGTTGCTGTGTATGGCTAGAGGCACAGGTTTATCACCTACAAATTTCAGGAGGCAGCCAGTGTTTACCGCAAAACTTCATTTTAACTTTCAAACATCCCTAAATGCCTTGAATGTGAACTTCTGATAGCCATTAAGTGGCAATCTCCATGGGTCAATCTTGGACTGGTCCAGTTCACTTCATTCCAGCCTCAGAGAATGTACTGAGAGCTACCTCCCAGTTGTGACCTCAGCAAGCCTCAGTCCTGAAGGGGCCTCCGAGGAAAGTCACTGTGACTGACTGACCCTTCCCAGACCCAAAAGACATCCTAAGTGCGCACAAATGACAGCCATCAAAAAAGGAGCCTGCTCAGCCAGTAGGAGAAATCAAGTCTTAATATAGGCTGCAGTTATGGATGGAGCTTGAAGACATTAGATGTTGAGCAAATTAAGCCAATCACAAAAGGATAAATACAGTTTCCCAAAAATACCAGGTATCTGTTAATTTCATCTTTCCATGAACTTGTTGAAGCTCTCTCATATGGAATGGCCTCCCTTAAATAAAAAGACTAGAAAAGGCAATCATATACAATTCAGTTTTTCAGTGTTTAACAGAGGTGGAAGGAAATTAACAATGATGGAAAATTCATATCAATTAAGGGTGGGGTGTCCAGCTGATTATTATAATTGCAATACTTTGTGCACCTGTAAAAGGCTGCATTGGCAAAAGCTGTATGTAAATATAACAAGAATAAAAAATAAAAAGACAAAAGACTACTTATGTACAACCAAACACTTCATACAATTTGGTTCCATGGCTTAGAAGTTTACAGTCATGATTTCGTGGGACATCCCATTAATAATGTGTTGAGTGTTTCTATCCTGCCTCATAGGGCTTTGAGCTTCAAAGTTTACATGCAGCCAGTCAAGGAATAACTTGGTCTCTACTCGTCTGGAGTACTCCCGAAAGACGACTTAGGAATAGGAGCAAGTAGAATGTGTGCCAACTGTCTCCATAAGTAACTGCCTTCTTCTGCCAGGAGGCCAGAAGAACTAGATGTTTCCCAAGTACCATTACGGAGCATTCTGATCAGAGTCCACAAAAAAATCCTGAACAAGAGGAGGAAACAGCAAAACAAAACTTCTCCCCACCAGGCTGTGAGGACAATGTTCCCGATTAGAGCAGCCAGTCCACAGAGAGGACCATATGGCCGGCCCCACTATGAGACATAACGCCCCCCACTGACCCATAGCCCGAAAGGGGACAACACCGGAGACACAGTGTGTGAACTGCACCTGATCTGATCCCGCCACACCGAGGCAAAACACTAAGGGGTGCAACAGAACAGCAAGGGAACGGAGCAGCGAGGTCCCCAGGGAATGCTGAAGGTGGACTTTGGGGCAAGGGCATGGTGCCCCAACAGACTAGACTAGAAAACACTCCTAAAGGCCAATAAACAATCCTTGAACTAACTACAAGCTTTTCTTTATTGTGTTTTGTTTTGGTTTTTGTCGTTGGTTTGTTGTCGTTTTGTTGTATATTGTTGCTTGGTTTTGCTCTGTCTTGTTTTTGGGCATGTTATTATCTCCGCAGGTCTGTCTAAATAAAATAGGCTGGATGAACAATCTGGAGGAGAAAACAACGGGACCGACAGTTCAGGAGGGACATGGGAGAGGGGGAGGTGGGGGGAAAGGTAGTGGTGTTAACAAACCCAGGAACAAGGATCACAACAAGTGATCCAAATCGGTGGTGAGGAGGGTGTGGGAGGCCTGGTAGGGCATCATCCAGGGTAATGTAACAAAGAGGAATTGCTGAAACCCAGGTGGGGACTGAGCATGATAGTGGGACATGATGAAAGTCAAAGGAAATTGAGGAAAGAGCTGGGAGGCAAAGGGCATTTATAGAGGTCTAGATAAAGGCATGTACATATGCAAATATATTTACATATGAGGATGGGGAAATAGATCTATGTGCATATACATATATAGGTTTAGTATTAAGGTAGTAGATGGACGTTGGGTCTCCACTCAAGTACTCCCTCAATGCAAGAATACTTTCTTCTATTAAATTGGCATTCTATGATGCTCACAACCGCTGAAGACAAAGCTGGTGAATAAGTAAGTGTGGTGAAGAAAGCTGATGGTGCCCGGCTATCAAAAAATATAGCATCTGGGGTCTTAAAGGCTTGAAGGTAAACAAGCGGCCATCTAGCTCAGAGCAACAAAGCCCACATGAAAGAAGCACACCAGCCTGTGCGATCACGAGGTGTCAAAGGGATCAGTTATCAGTCATCAAAGAACAAAAAAATCTTATCATAGTGAATGAGGTGGGCGTGCAGAGTGGAGACCCAAAGTCCATTTGTAGGCCACTGGACATCCCCTTACAGAAGGGTCTTGGGGAGGAGATGAGCCAGTCAGGGTGCGATGAAACATACAACTTTCCTCTAGTTCCTAAATGCTCCTCTGCCCCCCGACTATCATGATCCCAATTCTACCTTGCAAGTCTGGCTCGACCACAGGATGTACACTGGTACAGACAGGAACTGGAAACGCAAGGAATCCAGGGAGGATGATTCCTTCAGGACCAGTGGTGTAATACTGGGAGGGCAGAAGGAGGGTGAATTGGAAAGGGGGAACTGATTACAAGGATCTACATGTGACCTCCTCCCTGGGGGATGGACAATAGAAAAGTGGGTGAAGGGAGACGTCAGACAGGGCAAGGTATGACAAAATAATAATGTATAAATTATCAAGGGTTCATGTAGGAGGTGGGCGGGGGGAGGGAGGGGAAAAATGATGACCTAATGCCAGGGGCTTAGATGGAGAGCAAATGTTTTGAGAATTATGAGGGTATTGAATGTACAGGTGTGCTTTACACAATTGATGTATGTATGGATTGTGATAAGAGTTGTATGAGCCCCTAATAAAACGAATTAAAAAAAAACAACCTTCAACTTTTCACTGGCTTCAGACTTCCCACAATCACAAAGGGTAAATGAACCCCTGAAACGACTTCCCTGAATCTTTAAAACTTAAACCAAAAATATCCCTGAAGCCATCTTAAAACCAAGCAAGTTTAGGTTCACTAGTAAAAAAGGTCTGCCTTGAGCATTATGCTGTCTCACAAACTATTTATATGGGATCAAATTGACAGCAGCAACAAAAATTAGGAAGGGACCTTTGGGGGCAGTGGGTTTATGTTAAGAGAGGACATCTTGGGATAGGAAGGGGAGAATGATGTAATTGTCACGGCTGACCCTGAGTGATGACTTACTGTCGAGGCTAGACTGTCACAAGGGGAGACGGGGCAGACAGAGATGTGCGCACGGTGTGTTCACTGCGGATTCTTAAGGAGCGAGAAAAGTCCCTAGACTGTCTGGTGCATAAAAAAGAGCAAAACTGTGGAGCAAAGGACCAGCCTCTGTACATGAAGTAGTCTGAAACTGGGGGAAATGCAATCGGTGTCACTAAAGTGTCCGTGTAAACACTGCTGAATTAGTAGGTGCTCTGCTGAGGCGATTCTTAACACCAAAAGCAACAAAACTACTGAATTGTTCGATATGTGACTTATATGCCAATAAAAGTATTGAAAAGGAAAACAAGCGAGAGACAGAGAGCCACAAAGGCCGACAGTCTGATTCTCTCTCTTACCTCTGGGTGTCGGTCCAGGTCACTAAGGGTTAAGCCATACTGCAAGATGAGCTGCCGGGCCTGCAGGAGACACAAAGGCACCTGTTATCCTTCGCTCAGAGTACAAGGTTCTAGCACTGAGCTCTGACTCCCTCCACGCCTGGCCTGTCCAGAGCCAGTCTGACCCCATGAATGCTGTCCATCACCTGGGGCTGAAGGACAGCAAAAGCACACCGTGGTGACTCAAGCCCAATGCTGCGGGCTCCTGCACAGGGAACTGCTACTTCTTTAGAGCCCTGGGCTCAGTGGTTATTTCTTACCTGGGTAATACGCGGATTTTAAAAATGTAAGAATCCACAAAAGATGAGCAAAGTTTTTTAAAACCTCCAACAAAAAGAAAACCGGCTGAGAAAGCCCTCGATAGGTGGATATGGAGTGACTTTCAGGACGGGCTCCCGAGTCTACTTCGTGACAAAAGTACACACTAACAAACAGGGGTTCAAGTAGAAAGAAAATGTTTTGAAAACGGTGATGGCAACATATGTACAAATGTGCCTGACACAACGGATGTACGAACTGTTTGTTATAAGAGCCCCCAATAAAATGATTAAGTAATATAGACGGAATTAAAAATAAACACAAAATCTACATTTGAAAAAAAAAAGAACATGGAGGTGGGGCCTCCAGGATGGAAGCAAGTCCTCTCACCAGAAAACATGATGAAACTGAACAAAAACTGTATGAAGGTTCAGGCCAAGGAGAGCACTGACTGGGAGAGATTTAGGATGGTGACTTAGTGCTTGAGTTTGGTTGTGATCCTCAAGGTCAGCAGTTCAATACCGACCAGCGGCTCCTTGAGAGAAGACAGGGCTTTTTACTCCCGTAAAGAGGTGTCGCTATGACCCGGCATCAACTCAATAGCAGGGCGTGAGAGAAACAATTAGCGCCATGTACCTTACAGATATTCCTCAAAACTAACCTGACAAAGAGGGGAAGTAGTGGTGACCAGCACAGCACAGGGGCATGAGCAAGTCATAACTGGAAAAAAGGCACCTCGAATCTTTGAGTTTGATCACCCGAGTCAAAGTACGAGGTTTGGTGTTCCTGACTCTCAGAAAGAAATGGTAACTGTGAGATCACTGCTTTTTTTAAGCTGCTGAATTGAGATCATTTGTTCTCTGAGAGGGTGGCTGCAACCAGGGGCTCAAACAAAAGAACAATTGTGAGGATGGTTTTTCACTGTTGTACAGGAGGGTCACTGGGAGCCAGCACCGACTCAACAGCACCTAATAACAACAGGTGTGTCACGCAGGAGGTGTTCTTAAAAATTAAACACTGCCTGTGGCACTTGATGGCATTGCTGTGTCAGGAGAGTATTTCTATTTGCACTATGATCAAAGTGAAAGAGAACATGCCTTCCATTCTCTTAAAACTCTGTGCTTTCCAAAAACTCAAATCTGTCGTCACGGAGCCAATGTCAACTCCATGGAGCTGGCAGCACTCCCTGCTACAGGCAGAACTGTTCCACTGGGTTTTCTTGGCTGCCAGGCCTTTCTTCCACGATCTACTGAGTGGGTTTGCCAACTGGTAGGTTAGTACAGGTTTGCACAAACCATTTCTACAAGCCTGGGCCTCTCACCTCCCCCAACAGGCAATACATAACAAAAGGACAGAATCGTACTCCCTATACAAGGGTCTACATCTCCATCACGACTCCATCATCTGTCATCTGTGATGATGGGCCCTGCATGAAGACCCCAAGGTCCCACTGGGCGGTGTGATCATCTACAAAAGGATGGCGTGAACAGCTGCACAACCTGAAGAATGCAACCAGCTTCACTGGATCACAACTGCAGAAATTATTCATCTATATTACTAGAGGCGTCCTGGTGGCAACGACGATAAGTGCTTAGCTGACAACGGAAAGGTTAGTGGTTCAAATGCACCAGCCTCTCCATGGGAAAAAGATATGGTGGTTGATTGGATAAAAATTTACAGCTCAGGAAATCCTACAAGGTAGTTCTATCCCTCAAACTGCGATGGAGTCGGAGTATATATTGCATGCGTGTCCTTTTCACACACACACACACATACACACACACACACACACACACACACACACACACACACACACACACACACGGAGGTAGATCACTATATGCTGTTCCCGTCCACCGTTCTCAGTTCTCCCTTTTCCTCACCTCTGCCTCCTCGCTCGGCACCACCTGGCGTGTCAGAAGTCTGTGCTAGGAACTGAAGGGTGTGCAGGGGTGGCTCATCCACGGGCCTAGACCTTGGACAGTTTATATGCTGGCAGGAGATGGACCTAGGCCAAGATCTCTCTGCTGTCTTCCAGGAAAGTCTCAACGTGGCCTCCTTCGTGCCTCTTTCCCAGCACTCATAAAAATCCATTGCTTGGTGTTTATTTTTAACATGGTATAATTAATTGGGAACACTGGGATGAGCAGTGGGGACAGAAATTACACCATACAATTACCGGCATCCACACTTCCTAGCCATGGCCCCAGTACCTGCCTCCAGATGCTCCCGAGGGACAGGTGGCCGGCCAGAGAAGTCGCAACTTTCTCTTTGGGGCCCCGAAAAGGGTCCTTAATCACAAGTGGCTTACAAGAGCCCTACCCTGGGGCCCATCAGTGGCTCAGTCAGCAGTTCCACAGCCTGAGATCAGCATCTGCTGGACACAGACTCCCGAGCTCTCCAGCACAGTGGTCCTCGAGGGCGTGGGGTTCAGAGCATCCCTGCCTCTTCCGGTCACAGCTCCTCTAGGTGCAGGGGACAGGAAAACTGATTATAGCCTGTACTGCTGGTAAGCTAGGAAGCAGGGGCCCCTCATGGAAAGCCCTCGGCCCTATGATCAGTGACAGTGGCATAAATTTCCTTAAAAAACATGAAAGCCCCCTTTACATCTTCCTTTGTACCAACTGAATGAAGTGGATGGAAAGCCAGAGTGAACAATAAAGTTTCTGGTTTAGATCCGATCTGGCTTTCAAACTTTGTTGTTTGAAAAGCCTCTAACTCTAAAGGGACAATACACACACACATACACACACACACACACACACACACACACACACACAAATCCCTACAGGCTTATTAAACAGAGGACAACTGATGTGTGTTCAGCTGTGTATTATGCTCAACAACCACAAAAGTAAAAGTATTTTATTAAAATAAAGAGATTTTTATTTCCTTTCAATCATTTCAGGGAGCCTGTGTCTGACTAAACTTAACAGAAGTCTGGGGCGTGGGCAGTAAAAAGCAACAAAGATAACTGAATCGGTGACTTTTTAAACACCTGTGAACTCTGAGTAACTCCTCCAGCTCATCACCTGGACTCGGCCAGCACTCCCAATCTGTTCTTTACCTGGACTCGGCCAGCACTCCCAATCTGCGAGCACTGCTAGCACTCTCCGTGATGAAACTCAGGTGGGTCAGGAAAATGCCATCTTTAAAACACTGGATGGAACTTCAAGTGGAAGGTAACAATTTGAACACCTGGTATTCAGCTTAGCTCTTTCTGAAAGCTGCTCTAAAACTTTTAAGTCTTTCTTAAGAATCTTTTCTCTCTGTTTTGAAGGCACAAATCTCTGAGAACTGAGAAGAGAAAACAGCAACCAATGTTTAAAGGCTGGACACTGCTGCACACCCGGGGACTGGTGAACGGCAGACTGCGACGGAGCCTGACAGTACTCAAGAGAGCGCAGAGTCAACCGGGTTAAAGCCACAGACCCCCCACCCCCACCCAAGATTCAGAAAATGCTAGCACCAAGAGCTCCCAGAAGCAGATGTGACAACGTGACTACAAGAGGGAAGGCTGGTCAAAAGGCTAAAGAGCCCTGGCAGCACTGTCAGGTAAGCACTGCGCTGCTAACCACAAGGTCAGCAGTTCAGACCCAGCAGCCTTTCCAGGGAAACCCTATGTCTGGTTGCGAGACGCTGGAACCCACTCAATGACGGGGCTGGGTTGGATGGAACACTACTTAGGAAACTGTTCGTGTCAAGTCTCCGGGCTGGGTTTCGAGGCATAGCAGTGAGGACAGAGGTGCTCAGTCAGTGACTTTGCTTGTGTAACATCTACCCTCCAAACTCAGTGGTTTCAAGTAGCAATTATTTATGATGTCGCACAACTCTGCGGACTGCCTGGGAAGTTGTCTGGGCAGGCTGGCCTCCGCACGAGTCTGCAGCGTCTCTCTCCAGGCATCCCCTCGCCCCCTCCAGGGACAGGTGTGGTGCGGGAGGCAAAGCTCCAGTGGCTTCAAGCCTCTGCCTGCTCTCACTCCGTAATGACTCCCCGGGAAAGCAAGCCCCGTGTCAAGTCCAGATTCCAACTGCTGTGGACACTGTTCCCTCCACGAAAGACACTGCCCCTGGAAAAAGAGAAGCGCTGAATGCAGACCTACATCCAGAATGCTGACACACACCTTCTAGCCCTCTCACCCACTGGGCTCTCAGGACAGGGACAGTCAGGTACACGCCCCCAGAAAGAAGCCTGGCTGTCATCTAAGTATGACTGGGCGGAAGAAAGATGACTAATGAGCGCACACCAGGATTTCCTGAAGGTAATGACTTAGCAGAAACCCTTTCCTGAGGGCTAGCTTCCAAGTAGCTCCCTAGTATATCAGTCATCACAGGAAATAGACAGCTAAGGAGTGCCAGAATAAGAAAAGCACAAATTTTAAAATACGATAAAAAGTCCATTCTATACTTTAACTGTTGGTTGTCACATGACCATATATGCTTATCAAAACTCATTACACCTTAAAAAAGGTTGATTTTGACTTTATATGAATTCTACTTCAAACAGTCATACAAAGCAACTTTGAGAAAACAAGCTGTATAGAAGCCTTTTTTAAAAAAGACTATCAATATTCTCAAGGAGATAGAGAAAAAATTTAAAACTTGAACTCATAAAACAAGAACAAGATCTTATTTTTAAAATAAGTTTGAAGAACAAAAACAGAGTTCTTAGAAATTAAACATAAAGGGGTGGGGGTGGGGGGTCAACAGAGGGTTAGAAGAGGACAGGGCTAAATTTGTACCTGTAACTCCAGCCCAATAAAAGGACACGGTAGGCTAGGCCACACGCACCTAGGAAAAAAGCCCTGGGAAAACAATAATCGATCTTGACTCCCCAAATCTAAGAGTAGGGAGGAGCAGAATGGAATATTCCAGCAATGCCAAGCACAATGAATGAATGAGCACACACTCACGCCAAGATGCACCACGGTGAACCGTCAGAACATTTGGAGACAAAGAAAACATACTCTAGACTCACTCACTCTCACTCACTCACTCTCACTCACTCACTCTCACTCACTCACTCACTCACTCACTCACTCACTCTCAGTCTCACTCACTCACTGACTCACTCTCACACTCACTCACACTCACTCCCTCACTCTCATTCTCTCTCACTCTCACTCACTCACTGACTCACTCACTCTCTCACTCTCACTCTCACTCACTCACTCTCACTCACTCTCATTCTCACTCACTCACTGACTCACTCACTCACTGACTCACTCACTCACTGACTCACTGACTCACTCACTCACTCTCACTCACTCACTGACTCACTCACTCACTCTCTCACTGACTCACTCACTCTCACTCTCTCACTCACTCACACTCTCACTCTTACTCTCACTCTCACTCACTCACTGACTCACTCTCACTCACTCTCTCTCACTCTTACTCTCTCACTCTCACTCTCACTCATTCACTGACTCACTCACCAAAAAAAAATTTTTTTTAATTAGAAAACAATCTAAGGGTATAAGGCATCAAAGATAATTTGTATTTAAAAAAAAGGTTTTATACAAAGGATTACGTGTCACCATGGTACCAAGCTTCTCAAAAGAAAAGCACAAGTTAGGCTTCAAAGTTCCCAACAAATGACTTTTTTTTTTAACCTTAAATACCTATCTCATCTTTATTCTTTTTTTTTTAAATCATCTTATTAGGGGCTCATACAACTCTTATCACAATCCATACACACATCAATTGTGTAAAGCACATTTGTACATTC